ATCTTTATCTTTATCTTTATCTTTATCTTTATCTTTATCTTTATCTTGATCTTGATCTTTATCTTTATCTTTATCTTTATCTTTATTTTTATTTTCATCTTCACCTTCATCTTCATCTTCATCTTTATCTTTATATCTTTATCTTTATCTTCACCATACCGTTTATTCAAAACCATTTCATTTGATACCCATATTGGGATACTTTATTTGTTTTAGTAAATAATTTGAATTTGATATCCGGTAACCGTCTAAAAAACTAAAATCAAATTACGCATTTACAGGTCAAGCCCTTTCATTTGACACCTTATTTTTCAAAATCGAATGAACGATACAGATTTTATGAATTCGTGTTAACTATTTAACGCAAACATCTGCGGCATAGAAATTTTGGATTCGATTTTCTAACATGTGGCAACTCCTTTCATGGAACTACTGCTTCGTAGCGCACCAGAATTACAAGGCCTTTCATGTGACACCTCATTTTTGAAATTCGAGAGAACGATACAGATTTTATGACTTGGTGTTAAATATTTAGCGCAACCATCTCCAAACTCGACTAAGAAGTTACACTTCAAAAAACTCAGTGACTTGGTGTTGAATATTTAACACAACCATTTGCGCCAGATAAATTTTAAATGCGATTTTCTAACATGGGTTGCCACATGGAACTAGAGCTATGTTGCACACCCAAAGTACAAGCCCCTTAATATGAACCCTGCGTTTTTGAAAATCGAACGAACGCTACAGATTTTATGATATGGTGTTAAATGTTTAACGCAACCATCTCCGAACTCGATTAAGTTTCACTTAAAAAAAAATTTAAATTGCCATTTTTGCCTTTTTTTGACACTGAAAAACTGAACGTGGTAGAAAAATCTTGTAAATGCACTTCAAATCAGCATCAAAAATCTACTAGTTATAAGATGAGGTCGGCCTACTTAGATGTGCTCAAATTTTTTTGGGGTCGGCATTTATGTATGTTTTAATTTTGCCGCTTCTATTAGGCAAACTGCTAATACCTTTCTGATTTATCTTTTATTTAATGAGTTGTATTAAATTAGTTTTTAAATTTCAATTTTAGGATGTACCATGATGAGAAAATGCCATTTAAACACTTGTCCAGTGGGAATCGCCACACAAGATCCTGTACTGCGCCAAAAGTTTACAGGAAAACCAGAGCATGTTGTGAACTTTTTCTTCATGTTGGCAGAAGACGTAAGTTTATTTATTCGAATATTTATTTTGTTTAAGTAGTTAAAATGATTTTTCAAAAACAAAACTTTATCCTTTGCATCCGCTCATATTTAGATGGCCTTTTAAGATATTTCAATGGCTGGTATTAATTTCTAGCTCCATTGTAAGCTTTGTATTATATATAATTTTTTGGGATATTTATAACGGCTCAGCCTGTTGAAACAATGAGGAATCAGTAAGAGACACAAACTCACACGGAAAAAAGCTTGGGCAATAGGTTCTTGGCTGGAGGAGATTGCAACCCAAAACATACGTTTAGGGGGATCACACCTCATTAATCCAACCGTTATAAACAAACACAATAAATTAGATGTGACATGTCCTGGAAAGCCCACTAATCGGAAATAGATTCTGGTCTACTAGATTTCGCTGTAACAAAGAACATAAGACATACATCTCATAGTAGTAGAGAATGTTAATAACTTATCGTTATTCTTATATATATACATATAATTCTCCTGTATTAATAAAAATACATGAGAAAGCCCAAGTCATTGAGCCATCAAAAATCTTTATATATAAAAATGAATTGCTGTCCGTGTGTTATCGCATCACTCAAGAACGGCTCAATGGATTTTCGTTTTTCTTTCATTTTGTGTCTTTCTATCTGTAGAAGGTTTGTAAAGAGAAAACTGGTAAAATGGTGTTGCCAGATATTTGCAATATCAGAAAAAAAAAAAATACAAATAAGCCGCAATAATGCCATTTCACTGAGAACGCATAACAAATTAATTCAGAAAAAAATTTGGATAAGGTTACCACCATTCGAAAAAAAAGTTTATATATAAAAATGGATTGCTTTTATGTGTTATCGCATCACTCAAGAGTGGCTCAACGGATTTGCTTCGTTTTTATTTCATTTTGTGTCTTTCTGTCTGTAGAAGGTTTGTAAGAAGAAAATTGGAAAAATTATGTTGCTAGATATCTGCAATATCAAAAAAAAATTATAATTATAAATGAGCCGCAATAACGCTATTTCACTGAGAATGCATAAAAAAATTAATTCAGAAAAAAATTTCGGAGAGGTTGCCACCATTCGAAAAAAAAATTTATATGTAAAAATGGATGCTTTCGTGTGTTATCGCATAACTTAAGAACGGTTCAAGGGATTTGCTTCGCTTTTATTTCATTTTGCGTGTTTCTCTCTGTAAAATGAATGTAAAGAAAAATGAATGTGTTACCACTTATTTCAAATATCAAAAAATGAATTTAATTTACATAAGCCGCAATAATGTACATTACTGAGAATGCATTAACAAATTTAATAAGCAAAAAAATTTGAAGAGGTTTGCCACCACTCGACAAAAATCTTTACATATAAAAATAAATTGCTGTTCGTTTGTTATCGCATAACTCAAGAACGGCTCAACGGATTTGTGAATGTGGAAATATTTTGCGTCGTTTCATAATTATTGATCATTTTGTGAAGTGAGTTCGTTTTGGCGTGTGTGAAATAATAGGGACGCGGACATTTACGTAAAAGTTTCTTTGAAATAGTGTGGATTTTAGATATTATAAACAACGAAAGGTATTATATATAAAATGAAATTTAGTTATATGCTAAACAATTTATCATACACTACAATTTAGTCACTCAAAATGGGCAGAGGAAAGCACTGCACTTTTCAGCTTAGAGAACAAATAAAACACTTTCACAATAAAGGGTTTTCGTACCGGAAAATATCCGAGACGTTGAAATGTTCTAAAAGAATGTTGGAAAATGCAATAAAATATAAACCAAAAGTGGAAACACGTGGACGGAAAACAAAAATATCTGCAGTTCTTGAAAGAAATATAGAGAGGTTTGTAAAAAAGAACCCCTTTGCATCTGCAAAAATTTAAAATCAACAAGTAATTTTTAGCAAAAATAAAACCGACTTAAAAATATCTATATATATGTATATATATTTCATGATCCAATAATCGGATCTAGATCAAATTAGTATGGGACCACCTCTGAGACACTACCTTTCTATTGCAAAAAGGATTATCGAAATCGTTTGACGTGGTCCAAAGTTATGCGATAATTTTGCATCGGAAAGGTAGTGTCACAGAGGTGGTCCCATACTAATCTGGTTTAGATCCGATCAGTGGATCATGAAATATATATATATATATATACTAGCAGAGCACCCGATGTCGTTCGGGGTATACAACTCAAAATATAAAACAGTAATACAAATCGTCGTTTAAAATGCAAAACCGTGTATCAGCAAAATGCAAAACCGCGTATGTGAAGTTGTAGAAATTATTTTCTAGAGGGTAAAAACATATCATATCGTATTTCAAAATGGTTCTCTTTTTTATAAAGCAATCGCATTTCTGGTTAGTATATTTCAGGACGAATGGATAAGGATTGAGTCAAGAGCTTGTGTCAGCAAATCCAATTTTTGGCAGCCAATGTCAGTTACGCGGTTTTGCAGAATGGCGATACGCGGTTTTATACTTTAAAGGACGAAATATTCAGTTCAGCATAATTTAAAGGAGACACACTATTTTCTTTGTTTACATTAACCCCATGTCTGAGTTAAGTAAAGACAAGTAAAATTTTTAAACAGCCATAAAGGGGACGTGACACATCCCTTAGGCGTGGAATTTTTTATCAGCTATAAGTTCGGAACCATAAGTCACACGAACTTGAAATTTGGTATGCCGACATATCAATAGTAGGTGCTTATACGAGGGTATATATAAACGAGTTTGTAAAAGGGGGCATGGCACATCCCATAGGCGTGGAATTTTTTATCAGCTATAACTTCGGAACCATACGTCTCACGAACTTGAAATTTGGTATGCAGACACATCAATGGTAGGTGCTTATAGGAGGGTATATATAAAGGAGTTTGTAAAAGGGGCGTGGAACATCCCATAGGCGTGGAATTTTGTATCAGCTATAACTTCGGAACTATAAGTCACACGAACTCGAAATTTGGTATGCAGATACTTCAATGGTAGGTGCTCATAGGAGGGTATGTATAAACGAGTTTGTAAAAGGGGGCGTGGCACATCCCATAGGCGTGGAATTTTTAATCAGCCATAAATTGGGAACCATAAGTCACATGAACTTGAAATTTAATATGCGGACATAACAATGGTAGGTGCTTATAGGAGGGTATATATCAACGAGTTTGTAAAAGGGGTCGTGGCGCATCCCATATTCGTGGAATTTTTTATCAGGTATAACTTCGGAACCATAAGTCGCACGAACTTTAAATTTGGTATTTAGACATAGATATCTATAGGAGGTGTTCAGAGTAAAGTATATATAAATGAGTTTATAAAAGGGTGATATACATATATGTATCCATCTATTAGATAACTCGGATATATAATACTGCGTGTTTTTTTTTTTGGGAAACCTTGCCTTAATTTTAATTTTGAAATTTTATCGTTACCTTAATCCACCTAATATTAATAATGGAACAAGATTTGTAGTACAAGTGATGATCAGTATATATTAGTTAAAGCACGATAAAGCTAAAAGTATGGCCTATGGATGCCTTAATGTAAACAAAGGAAATAGTTCGTCTCCTTTAAATTATGCTGAACGGAATATTTGTATTAGTGTTTTATATTTTGATTTGTTTACCCCGCATGACGTCGGGTGCTCCGCTAGTCTTACTAATACACGTACATATACCAATGAGAGCCACTGCACACGCATTCTGGAGTATTTTTGACAATTTTTTTGGTGATGGTACTGTGCATTTTCTCTCCTACAAAATATGCTCGACAAAATTTTTATATGGAATAAAATGCGCAGCACCGTCAATAAAAAAATTTCAAAAATCAGGGCTATTTTAGATTCACTTGAAACTTGCACTTTGTTACACTATAATTGAATGGGCTACAAAACTGCATATTCGAAATTTTCTAAAAATATTATTAACTTATTCACTGCAGGTCATTAGGATTGTACACTCCTATGTTGACCATTTTTAAGAACTGTTTCCAGCTTTTAAGAAAAACGAAAAAATCATACTAAATGCTGCCCAATAAATGGAAAAGAAAAGCAAGCTGAAAGTGTGATTGTGTTAGTGTGCCAATTACGTTTGAATGATTTTGCGTTCACTTTGTTACGCTCTCGCATGTATACGCATGTAATGCTTACGCTCTTTAAGCAGGCGCTCACTCTCTGTCCATGCTTGTATATGAGCAAATTTGACATCGATATAATTGTTGCCAACTTTGTGCCTTTCGCAATAAATTAAGTGTATTTAGGGAATTAAAACGCGAACATTTTTTAGTTTAGCGCTTGTTTCGTTCTTTGGTGCCCTTTTCAAGGTAATCCTTACTACTTACTTATAATATTATAAATCCGAAAGTGAGTTTGTTTGTTTGCTACGCTTTCACGCTTTAACTACTCAACCGATCATCACGAAATTTTGTACACTGCTGAACTTTGTATGGAGATATATAAAATCATTATTTACTCATTTATGAGGGCTGTTACCCTTTAAACAAATCAAATTTAACTTCAATTAAGGGAGTTATTTATTTCAAAATTACATTAAAAAATGGATGTCAAGAGGCTTAAAAAAGCTGTAGTTCGAATAAATTTTGAAAAGGATTGCCACCTGTTTGAAAAGTCAAGTTTAAATTAATTATACGCAAGCTGTTTAAGTATTTCACAAGGGTTGCCACCCTTTTAAAAACTAAATTCAATTATTTTAAATTAAGTGTTACAGTAAAAGGCGCGCAATGGTCCTGGCGGTTAATTTATGGGTGGTGATTTGAGATTTACCCCTGCACAACTCAACCCTGGTGTCTCCGAATGAAGCTTCAACGCATAATAATACTGTCAAAACACATCCATTGGGCCAATCATAACACACAGGAGTTCGATATACTCAGTGGTGCAGCAGATCGATTTAATCTGATATTCACGGCACTTTTTCTAACTTGGCGATTAGCTAGAGTGGATTATAAATAAGATCTTTAGTAATAACTAAACTCCAGCG